AGCTGTTGTCACTGTTCTCTTCCTTCTTTTCTCCTTTCCCCATCCCAGTTTCTCTTTCTCTTTGAACAGTTTCTTCCCATTTCACAATATCTGTTGTATAATTTGAATCTTATTTACTCGTTCAGCTCCTCATACTAGGGAAACAATATGATGGTTTTTTTCTTCTGTATTTAGGACGGGGTCTACAGGGTCTCACTGCATAGATCGGACTTGGAGTGATTCTCCTGTTTTCAGCCTCCCAAGAGCTGGGGTTACAGGCACATGCCACCACGTTCAGTCTCAATTTCCTTCTCAGCACACCCCACTGGGGCCAGCACAGCATGCCAGGGATCAAACCCTAGCCACTGTGTTCTGCCTAAGCAGGTGCTTTAGTCCAGTGAGCTATAGGCCAGTCTCAATATTATGTTTGTACATGTGCATCTGACTTATTTCAGTTATGAATTTGGTCTTAACTTGCATCCATTTATCAATGCCTCACACTTACCCTTTTAATGGCCAAGTAATACTCCATTGTATAAAAAGGAGGGTTTTTTTTCCCATAATTTTATTGAGAAACAAATAGCAGTGAGACAGTTTCATACCAAATTGGTAGAACAGTTTCAATAATTAACACATTGCATACATTATTCCTAGTGGTTAATTGCTGTACAAGATGTGGACTTGATATCCTATTTACAAACACTATTAGAACAAATCCCTCTATTCATTAAGAGAATGTAACTATATATATCCTAACCATTTTGAATACACAGATACAAAATGGACATTCATCTGTATCCCTTTTTTTGTTAAGTTCCGTTATTTGAATATTATAGGTGTGTTAACTCAGCAAAATATTCTAAAAGAGTCCAGTAGTCCATAATAGTATTGGGTCTTCCGCTTCACTGGCAATGTCAGAAATTGTTGACCTGAGTCCCCCACAGAGCAACATAACACCATGGCTTTACTTCTTACACTTCATTTTTATACTTTTCTGCTGGATGGTTAAGACCAAGGTGAAGCAGGACCTATGCAACAAGAGTTGTAGCTTTTGGGCCTGATAAGGTCAATGAAATCCCCTCAGGATTTATCCTGAGATCCTGTGCTTCAGATTGTAGATCCTTTGTCAGTGTCAGCCATGTGGATGAATCATGGCCATTGCTTGGCCATTGTGCTCTCTGTGAAAGCCTGAGAGAATGTTTTCTCTCCATGTGATGCTCCTTAGGCACACTCTACATTATCGATCACTTTCCTCTTTGGCCCCATACTCTCCTTGATCAGAAAAAAAAAATTTTTTTTTTTTTGACCATTCAGGATGTCTTCAGGGCAAGTCTGTCCACTGTATAAAAAGATCACATCTTTTTTTTTTTTTTTTTTTCCTTGAAGAACAGACAGGTTCTGTATGTAGTAAAATATTTATTCTCTGTCATGTTCTTTTTTTTTTTTTTTTTTTTTTTTTTTTTATCTTTTCCTCAATTTTATGGGCATTCGGGTTGTTTCCAAGATTTAGCTACCATATATGTGGTAAGATGTTTTTAGTTCTTCTGGGAAGTTACCCAGAAGGGAAATAGTGGGGTCAAATGGGACCTCTAGTTCCTAGTCTTTTAGGAATCTCTACACTGGGTGCACCAGTCTGCATTCCCACCAACATGGAGAAGGGTTGATTTTTTTTTCCCTACAGCCCTGCCAGCATTTGTTGTTGGTTGATTTGTTGTTGACAGCCATTTTTTCTGGGGTGAGATTCAATCTCAGTGTTGTTTTAATTTACCTCTCTTGAATAACTAGTGATGTTGAACTTTTTTGTGTTGTTTAAATTTTTCATCTGGGAAGTGTGTATTTATCTCAGATGCCCATTTTTGGATTTGGTCTCTACATTTGAGAGGTCTGATTTTTTTTGAGGTTTTTTTATTTTTTATTAATTTTATTGAGAAACAAATAGCAATGAGACAGTTTCAGAACAGGTTAGTAGGGTAGTTACAATAATTAATACATTGCATATTGTTGTTGTCATAGTAGTTATTCATAGTACAAGATGCAGACATGATATCGTGTCCAAACACTGTTAATACAAATCTTTCTTCCAATTGAATTAAGAGAAAGTAGCTGTATATCTATCCTATTTTGTGTGTGTGTGTGTGTGTGTGTGTGTGTGTATCACTACAAAATGGTCCTTCATTTATATGCCCCTTTTTTGTTTAGTTTTGTCAGAGATTGGTATTCCATTGCCATTTAAATATTGTAGGTGTGTGAATTCGGCAAAATAATCCAGTATAGTCCAGTAGTCTCTTTATATGCTCTCAATAGTAATCCTTTGTCTGAGGAACAACTGGAAAACATTTTTTTCCTACATTGTGGGTTGTCTGTTCACTCTGTTAGTGATTTCTCTTGCTGTGCCCCCTTAACCCCCATTTTTTGTAAGATAGGATTTCTCTAAATGCCTAAGTTGCCTGTGCTGGGCTTGAATTTGGGCTCCTTATCCCAGCCTGCTGCAGTCCTAGTGTTATAGGCATGTACTACCCACCCCTTCCAGTACAAGAATGCTCTTATTTATTTAAATAAATGTATTTAGTACAAGGTCTACAGGGTCTCACTACTTAGATGGGACTCTTAGTGATCCTCCTGTTTTCAGCCTCCCAAGTACTGGAGTTACAAGCACGCACCACCACACTTAGTCTTAGTCACTGAGCTATCTGGCCAGCCCTGCAAGCATGCTCTTTGACCACAACAAAATTGGGAAACAATAACAAAAAATTATTCATAAATATCAAAATAATTGGAAAATTAAGCATTGTGCTACTAATTCACCTATAAGTCAAATAAAAATCATGAGAAATTAGAGAGATCTTGAATTCAATGAAAATGCAAGAATACTGAAGTATGTAAGATACACTTGGAGAATTCGTACCATTAAGTGCTTATAATTTGAAAGAAAGAAAAATTAGTGATCTAAGGTTCTACCATAAGCCAGGAGAAGATTGATACAGTAGAAAAGAGGTTACAAACACAAAAAAGAAATCAGGCAGTAGAAAATTAACAAATAAATCAGGCGTGGTAACATACACCTCTAGTCCTAACACTGTAGGAAGCTGAGGCAAGAGGATCTCAAATTTAAGCCCATCCTGGGCAACTTATTGACTTAAGGAGGCCCTTTTGCAAAATTAAAAAGGTTGGGGATATACTCAGTGTAAAGGCCCTGGGTTTAGTCCCCAATACCAAAAAGAAGAAAAGGAAAATTAACAAGTAATAGGGGAAAAACAAAAACTGTTTTACAAAACAGGTATTACTAATGTGTAGAAACAAAAAAGGGACCATTATTATAGACCATGTTCAGTTCTATTGTTTGCTTGTTTTTTTGGGGGGTCTTTTTGAGACAGGGTCTTGCTGTGCAGTTCAAGCTAGTCTTGAGCTTGCTTTGTAGCCCAGCTTGGTTTCAAACTTGCAAGGCTCCTCCTGCTTCAGCCTCCCAAGTGCGGGGATTGCAGGCATGTGCCACCAGGCTGGCACCCTACTCAATTTTAAAATAATAATAGTATACGAGTAACTCTTTGCTAAATAATTTAACCAATTTAGATGGTATGATCAAACTGAGTTAGCAGTGTATATTACTAAAAAACAGGAACAAGACGTAGAAGATAAAATTTGGTTTAATGTATTAAAAGAAGTAGGATTCATTTGAAAAGTCACCATGGACAGCTTTAGGTTCACCTGGTTTTGTTGGTGAATTCTATCAAACACCTGGATAAATTGCATCATCCTCTGCTGCATGTGTTCGTGTGTATGTACAGCATTCATCTCAGCAGGAAGCACTGAGGGGCCACGTCTTTGCTCGGTCTGCTGGGGAGAGCGTGTAGGGAAGAAGTGCAGACTGGGTGAGAGAGGCGCAATGTCTTTATGGTCAGGTGACTCCTGGAGACTGCAGCGCTCCGGCCACCTGCAGGAAGTAAATGTGGCCGGTGTGTGGTTTGGCTGGAGTTAGTGGCAGTTTTGAAGCTGAGAGCAGAGGACATAAAGCTAGGGTGTTGTCAGAGGTTGGAGGCTTGAGACTGGGTGCAGAGCTCCTAAATCTCATTTGGGCAGCTCAGCCTTTGCACATAGCTGGCCACTTGCAGCCGCAGCCAATCTTATTTTGTAAGTATGTTATAGGATGAATACAATATTTTTAC